GTCCTAGTTCGACATGGCCAATCATCTTCTATGGTTTCGTGTTTCTGCTCTAGGTGACTCAGTTGATAATGAGGGGTAATTGTGAGAGGCATGAGTACCTTTCCCCTGTGGTTTGGTATGAGACACATGGGTAAGTTTCTATAATAGGAAGCTGGGGGTTGGGATTTCCTTTCAACTTATTGATCCTTTTATTTGTCTAGATCAGTGGTTCCCAACTTTTTCCAGATGGGGACCCATTTTGACAATTCTCTAAGGGTATGTCTACACTACAGCGTTATTTCGAAATAGCTTATTTTGAAATAACGTGTCTACACACAAAATGCATTTTGAAATAGCATTTTGCTATTTCGAAATAGCGCATCCACAGTGAACGCTGAATCGCATTTAAGGCCGGCCAGATCCAGGTCCGGCAGGACGTCAGATCAGGAGTTATTTTGTGTGGCTGGTGCCTGTGGGTATGTCTACACTACAGCGTTATTTCGAAATAGCTTATTTTGAAATAACGTGTCTACACACAAAATGCATTTTGAAATAGCATTTTGCTATTTCGAAATAGCGCATCCACAGTGAACGCTGAATCGCATTTAAGGCCGGCCAGATCCAGGTCCGGCAGGACGTCAGATCAGGAGTTATTTTGTGTGGCTGGTGCCTGTGGGTATCTGAGTCCTGTGCTTAAAGGAACCCCCCCACCCCCCTGACAGACAGTTCTCAGGTTTCCCTGCTCACTTGCCTACCTCGATGAGGGACAGCAAAGCATTTTCTCTGTGCGTGCTCTGGTTGCCCTCACTCGGGACACCACAGCACTCTGCAACATGGAGCCAGAGCTGCCCCTGGGCACTCTGGTGCTTCTCATGGACGTTTTGCTGTGAGCCTGGCTGCACTTTCTGAAGGCTGCCATCCGGGAAGTCCATTGGGGGGCTGTGAGTATCCAGGAGGCCCTGCGGGAGAGCTTCCACCCTGAGGAGCACTAAGAGCTTCCCTGGTCTGCCCCACTCGGGGCTTGTGCCTCATCCTCCCTAATCCCCCTTCCTAATGTCAAATAAAATACATGTATTCTCATGAACACAAACTCTTTTTATTTAACAAAACTGGGGTGGGGGGGGATAATGAAACTCTGGTGGGAGAGGGGAAGAGAATGAGTGGGAGAGGGGAGGGGGAACCTGGGAGGAGGGAGCTGGAAGGGGGAAGCAAGGGGAAGAAGGGGGAGGGGAAGCTCAGGGCTCAGGGTTGGGGGTCTCA